AGGCTTTAACTAAATGTTTTGTAAAGTGTTTTGAGATACAGAGGCAAAGGCGTTAGGGAAGGGCAAAGTATTATTTGGACTTAGGGAAGATGAAATGGTACCATAAATGCTGCTATTCTGAGAGCCATTTTTAACTGCACTGCTCCAACCACCCCCCGCTTCTCATCACCAGGACAGCAGGTCGAGAAAATGTCTTTCCTTTCACTTGCTTCTGGGGTTTGTGATGATTCTAGAAACTTAATTTCTTCCTCCTCGCTGTACTTCCTTCCCTCACCCCCTCGACTTGTTCCCTGTTGTTTATGCAGAAATGGCAGAAGTGCTTGAGAAATGAGAATGTATACGTGGATTGGAAGTTTATAGTCTGAAATTTCAATTTTACTTTGTACTGTACATCTTTTTACTTTAGAATTTGCAATAAAGGGTTACGTCAATCTTGTTTTCAACTCTCCTCTTGGATTGGCCTGTCATTCTGTCATGGCTCTCACCCCAAGCCCAGGGCCCACAGCAGGGCAGTCTATTGCGGCCACCCAGCCGGCCATACTCTGGTGGGCAGAGAAGGCTGTAGAGGCAGGCGCCCCAGCAAGTGGACCCCTCTACCTGCGCTGTCCTACACACTCCCAAAGAGCCCTGGAGCAGGCCCAGCAAGGTCCACATACCGCTGTGGCCCCCATTAGGTCTCAAGCTTCCTGCCTGTGTAGGCTGCATTCCTCTGGGGCTCAAAACATTTAGGACGGATGGCTCTGGGTTCAAAAACCCGCCTACGTCACCAAGGAGCTGTGAGCAGCTTCCTGATGTGTACTGGAGATAAAACCTGCCTTCTTGGGTTGTTTTGTCTTTTGTTTGGTTTGGGAGATTTTTGGTTTAGTTTTTGAGACAAGGTCTCACTATTGGTTCAGCCTGGCCTTGAACTCACTTTGTATTCCCGGCTGGTCTCAAACTCACAGCAGGGCCAGGGAGATAGCTCAGTAGGATAAGCGCTTGCCTGGCAAGCACAAGGGGCTGAGTTCAATCCCCAGTTCCACAAAAAATATCAAACTCACAGCAACCCTCCTGCCCCAGCCTGCTGAATGCTGGGGTTACAGGTGTGCGCTACCACAGCCGGCCCTTCTCTGGCTTTGAAGAGTAGTATATGAAATAATGTTAATTGCTTAGCACGGCCAGACACACAGTTCATGCTCAGAAAGTGGTGGCACTTAGTGGAAGAACAACTACTCAGTAAGCGGGAACTAAAGCTGAAAGTAGACCCCATCCTGGGAGACCACGCCAGCACCCCACCTGAGCCAGCACAGCTCACGGGCTCTGCCTGGCATTTCCACGAAGTGACAACCAACAACCATGCATCTCACAACTTTTATGATCCGTCCAGGGCAGCGCTCCAGCAGTTCCGTTTCTCCGTAGCAGGTAGCCCTCGTGAGAAGCGGCTCAGCTTCTCAGCCCGCAGTGGGTCCGAGTCCGGGGCATGCGGGGTTGGCACGTGGGCCGGGGCCGCCGGGTCGCCGTCGCCGCCCGTGATCCACACGGTGAACAACAGGAACAGCGTCCCCGTGCCCAGAGCCCCCACGAAGCCAGTGAGCAGGCCGAGCGCCAGCGGCCCGGCCCAGCCCGCGGGGCTCCGCTCGTACGGGGGCTGAGGCAGGCGCTCCAGCACCAGATCCAGCCCCAGCAGGTCCCAGGCAGGCGTGC